ATATAATGTGATTATGTGCACATGAACAGAGAAGATGAAAGATCATTCATATGTGTTAATACATGTGGAAACACACATATATAGCTAATGAGTCACGAAAAGCAAGATATATGCAGCATAATGTACAGAAATCTCCCTGGAGAGGCCATCTCGGCCACGGTTTGCGGTGGGAGGTGGGTGTCGAGGGAGAGGAAGACACGTAGGTGGTGGTGTCAAGGACATCTATTCATGCGGAGGAAGACTAGACCTCCGAGGAGCAGCAGCTCTGCATGTTCAGGAACGGGAAGCAAGGGCAGTGGATTGATCGGAGGAGCTCCATTGCGATCTTGGTGAAGCTCATGAAAGGAAAGAGGAGGGAGCGGGGAGGAAAGATGGGGTTGGTTATTCTTATAGGCTACGCATAAGTGGTGGCAGAGCTTGAGTTGAGCTCAAGGCTGCTCCACACCGGCGGTGCAGTAGAACGGCGGTGGCGCGACACGGTTTTATTGCGAGGAAGATGAGGGAGTTTGCGGCGTAGGTGGACCAAAGGTCGACCCGAAGCCAAAAGAGGGAAGGAGATATGGGCCAACTATGGGCCAAAAGGAGGAGGACGCAGAGCACCGGGTGGAGGAAAATGGGGTGGGCTCGGCCCTAGTGTAGGAAAAGAAGGAGAGAAGAGGAAGAGGATGGGCTGGAAGTTAGGCTCGAGTGAGCAGAAGAAAAAAGATAGAAGGACTATGGGCCAGTATTGGAAATCGGCCTAGAGTTGATTGTGATTTGTGAAGTTGGAAGTTAATTTGAGGATTTTTCAAGGATTGGAAATATTCAAATTTGAACTAGATTCAAATTGAATATGATTTGGATGGGTCTAGGGTTTAGAGAAAAGCAATGCACTTTTGTGCATGTCCAAATTCAAAAATATTTAAACTATATTCTTGGGTGAGAGTATGCTTTCAAGGCACAATGATTTCTGATTTCGTGGAGAACATGCTCTACTTCAACGCGAGGTGGTTGTTATTCTGTTCCCACTTCAACGTGAGGTGATTGTTATTCTGTTATGGGAACGTGAAACACATGCTCCAAGTGCAAACGAAACATCTTCCCCTCTCATGCTCTCATCTAGAAATTTCACAAGTAGCTCGTCTAATCTCTACTACTTAAAAAAAAGTAAAAGGACACTTTTTACCGTCCGTCATTCCCCAAGGGCGGTGGATGGATCGGAGGACCTCCATTGCGATCTTGGTGAAGCTCATGAAAGGAAAGAGTAGGGAGCGGGGAGGAAAGATGGGGTTGGTTATTCTTACCGGCTACGCATAACTGGTGGCGGAGCTTGAGTTGAGCTCATGGCTGCTCCGCACTAGCGGTGCGGTAGAATAGCGATGGCGCGACGCGGTTTTACTACGAGGAAGATGACGGAGTTTGTGGCATAGGCGGACCAAAGGTTGGCTAGAAGCAGAAAGAGGGAAGGAGATATGGGCCAACTACGGGCCAAAAGGAGGAGGAAGCAGACCACCAGGTGGAGGAAAATGGGGTGGGCTCGGCCCTAGTGCAAGAAATGAAGGAGAGAAATGGAAGAGGATGGGCCGGAAGTTAGGCTCAAGCGAGCAGAAGAAAAAAGATAGAGGGAAATGAAGGAGAGAAGAGGAAGAGGATGGGCTGGAAGTTAGGCTCGGGCAAGCAGAAGATAAAAGATAGAAGGACTATGGGCCAGTATTGGAAATTAGCACAGAGTTGATTGTGATTTGTGAAGTTGGAAGTTAATTTGAGGATTTTTCAAGGATTGAAAATATTCAAATTTGAACTAGATTCAAATTGAATAGGATTTGGATGGGTCTAGGGTTTAGAGAAAAGCAATGCACTTTTGTGCATGTTCAAATTCAAAAATATTTAAACTATATTCTTCGGTGAGAGTATGCTCTTCAGGCACGATGATTTCTAATTTCATGGAGAACATGCTCTACTTCAACATGAGGTGGTTGTTATTCTGTTTCCGCTTCAACGCGAGGTGGTTGTTATTCTGTTCTGGGAACGCAAAATGCATGCTCGAAGTCCAAACGAAACATCTTCCCCTCTCCTGCTCTCATCCGGAAATTTCGCAAGCAACTCGTCTAATCTCTACTACTTAAAAAAGTAAAAAGGACACTTTTTACCGCCCGTCATTCCCCAAGGGCGGTGGATGGATTGGAGGAGCTCCATTGCGATCTTGGTGAAGCTCGTGAAAGGAAAGAGGAGGGAGCGGGGAGGAAAGATGGGGTTGGTTATTCTTACCGGCTGCGCATAAGTGGTAGCGGAGCTTGAGTTGAGCTCATGGCTGCTCCGCACCGGCGGTGCGGTAGAACATCGGCGGGGCGGTGGGGTTTTACTACGAGGAAGATGAGGAAGTTTGCGGCGTAGGCGGACCAAATGTGGACCGGAAGCCGAAAGAGGGAAGTAGATATGGGCCAACTACGGGCCAAAAGGAGGAAGAAGCAGACCACCGGATGGCGAAAAATGGGGTGGGCTCGACCCTAGTGCGGGAAATGAAGGAGAGAAGAGGAAGAGGATGGTCCAGAAGTTGGGCTCGGGCGAGCAGAAGAAAAAAGATAGAGGGAAATGGAGAGAAGAGGAAGAGGATGGGCCGCAAGTTAGGCTCGGACGAGCAAAAGATAAAAGATAGAAGGACTATGTGCCAGTATTGAAAATCGGCCTAGAGTTGATTGTGATTTGTGAAGTTGGAAGTTATTTTGAGTATTTTTTAAGGATTGGAAATATTCAAATTTGAACTAGATTCAAATTGAATAGGATTTAGATGGGTCTAGGGTTTAGAGAAAAGCAATGCACTTTTCTGCATGTCCAAATTCAAAAATATTTATACTATATTCTTGGGTGAGAGTATGCTCTCGAGGAATGATGATTTTTGATTTTGTGGAGAACATGCTCTACTTCAACGCGAGGTGGTTGTTATTCTGTTCCCACTTCAACGCGATGTGGTTATTATTCTATTTTGGGAATGCGAACCGAATGCTCCAAGTCAAAACAAAACATCTTCCCCTCTCCTGCTCTCATCCGGAAATTTCACAAGAAGCTCGTCTAATCTCTACTACTTAAAAAAAAGGAAAAGGACACTTTTTTCCGTCTGTCATTCCCCAAGGGCGGTGGATGGATCGGAGGACCTCCATTGCGATCTTGGTTAAGCTCGTGAAAGGAAAGAGGAGGGAGCGGGGAGGAAAGATGGGGTTGGTTATTCTTACCGGTTGCGCATAAGTGGTAGCGAAGCTTGAGTTGAGCTCATGGCTGCTCCGCACCGGCGGTGCGGTAGAACATCGGCGGGGCGGTGGGGTTTTACTACGAGGAAGATGAGGAAGTTTGCGGCGTAGGCGGACCAAATGTGGACCGGAAGCCGAAAGAGGGAAGTAGATATGGGCCAACTATGGGCCAAAAGGAGGAAGAAGCAGACCACCGGATGGCGAAAAATGGGGTGGGCTCGACCCTAGTGCGGGAAATGAAGGAGAGAAGAGGAAGAGGATGGTCCAGAAGTTGGGCTCGGGCGAGCAGAAGAAAAAAGATAGAGGGAAATGAAGAGAGAAGAGGAAGAGGATGGGCCGCAAGTTAGGCTCGGACGAGCAAAAGATAAAAGATAGAAGGACTATGTGCCAGTATTGAAAATCGGCCTAGAGTTGATTGTGATTTGTGAAGTTGGAAGTTATTTTGAGTATTTTTTAAGGATTGGAAATATTCAAATTTGAACTAGATTCAAATTGAATAGGATTTGGATGGGTCTAGGGTTTAGAGAAAAGCAATGCACTTTTCTGCATGTTCAAATTCAAAAATATTTAAACTATATTCTTGGGTGAGAGTATGCTCTCAAGGCATGATGATTTCTAATTTCATGGAGAACATGCTCTACTTCAACGCGAGGTGATTGTTATTCTATTCCCACTTTAACGCAAGGTGGTTGTTATTCTGTTCTGTGAACGCGAAACGCATGCTCCAAGTCCAAACGAAACATCATCCCCTCTCCTGCTCGCATTTGAAAATTTCGCAAGCAGCTCGTCTAATCTCTACTACTTAAAAAAAAGTAAAAAGGAAACTTTTTACCGTCCCTTATTCCCCAAGGGAGGTGGATGGATCGGAGGAGCTCCATTGCGATCTTGGTGAGGCTCGTGAAAGGAAAGTGGAGGAGCGGGGAGCTCATGGCTGATCCGCATCGGCGGTGTGGTAGAACAGTGGCGGCGGTTTTACTGCGAGGAAGATGAGGGAGTTTGCGGTGTAGGCGGACCAAAGGTGGGTCAGAAGCCGAAGGAGGGAAAGAGATATGGGCCAACTACGGGACAAAAGGAGGAGGAAGCAGACCACCGGGTGGAGGAAAATGGGGTGGGCTCGGCCCTAGTGGGAAATGAAGGAGAGAAGAGGAAGAGGATGGGTCGGAATTAGGCTCGGACGAGCAGAAAAAAAATAGTGGGAAATGAAGGAGAGAAGAGAAAGAGGATGGGCCTCAAGTTAGGCTCGGACGAGCAAAAGAAAAAAGATAGAAGAACTATGGGCCAGTGTTGGAAATCGGCCCAGAGTTGATTATGATGTGTGAAGTTGGAAGTTAATTTGAGGATTTTTCAAGGATTGGAAATATTCAAATTTGAACTAGATTCAAATTGAATAGAATTTGGATGGGTCTAGGGCTTCGAGAAAAGCATTGCACTTTTGTGCATGTTCAAATTCAAAAATATTTAAACTATATTCTTAGATGAGAGTATGCTCTTAAGGCATGATGATTTCTGATTTCGTGGAGAACATGCTCTACTTCAACACGTGAGGTAATTATTATTCTGTTCCCACCTCAATGCGGGGTGGTTGTTATTCTGTTTTGCAACGCGAAACGCATGCTCCAGGTCCAAACGAAACATCTTCCCCTCTCCGGCTTAATAAATAAAAAGTAAAAAGGATACTTTTTACCGTCCGTCGTTCCCCTCCGCTCGGTAGCCCTCGCTCCCATCCATCTCCTTCCATCCGATTCCCCTCCACACCTTCGAGCCGTCCCTCCGCTCATGCGTCCCCAATTCCACGCCGCCATCGCCTCCGCCAACGCCGCCATCCCACACGCATCCCAGCGTCGCGTCCCCAAGACAACAGAGCGTGGCGGCGGTGGTAGAAGCAGCACACGTTGGTCGCGGGGGTGGTGCGTCCCTCCACGGCGTGTCCCTCCCCCGCTGCCGGCACCGTCACATCCCTATCTCCATCGTCCCGCTCCAATTGCCAGCGCTGCTGCCCCGGACCAGACGCCATCGCCTGCATCGTACGCCATCTGCCCAATTTGCCACGATGTGGTAGCTGCCCTCCTCCCCGTCCATTTGCAACCATGGATGTCTATGTGCGGCGGCAGCTCCAATCGGCGGGAGTGGCGATGGCCCGAAAATGACCCAGCGGTGGCATCTCCTTTTTTGCGACGGTAGCACCCCTCTGCACCGGCGACCTCGCCTGGAGCAGTCGGCCGGTGATGGCGTCAGGTCCAGGGGAAAGCCGTGGAGAGACCCCGACCAGGTCTGTGGCATCGCGGCGGCAGTTGTGCTTGGCGCTTGAGGTTCCCTACCAATCCCAATCTGTGCCTAATCCTGAGGTGAGTACTCGTTCAAATCCACGCATCCCCTTCAGGGTTGGCATTCGTTTTTTATGTTTTGGTCGTCCAAATTTCTGATTGATCCATGGACGAGGAACGGGAAGTTCCAGTTGTTTATTTGGTGTGAATGTAGATTCCATTGATATGAATGATTTACTTATCTTGCTATTAGATTATCCCAAAATTTCCCCAATATCCACACTACATTGTTTCCCCAACGCCTGCCTGCCATCCGTCCTGTGATTGCCACATGTGTGCATGCTGGAGTTTTTTGCAATTAGGTTCCTGCTTCACTCTGCATCACTGGCCGGATGTTTTTGTTGTGTCGTGAATCACTGTTTTGATAGATAATTTATATGGTGGCATAGTATATACTAAAAAACAATGCTCATCATTCTGGTCACCACATTTTTTTCGGCAACGAGCTCTCTTTGTCCGAACAGAACCTAATCTATCTCATTCTGTTTATTTCATCAAATTTGGTTACTGATGGGTTTTCTTGGAGTAGAGAATTATTCTGACAGATTTCAATGTATCATGAAACCTTTGTAAATTTTCATATCATCTACTGTTAGTTCATTTCATGAGAATTATTCTGACAGATTTCAGGTGTTGGGCAAATAAAAGGGATATGCCTAGCACTATCACATCAAATTTTGCTACACATTCGACACCAAGCAATATTTTGAAGCAGTGCTAGCAAATGTATCAGAATTCACAACTGTAGCTGTTCTTACTTTTGTGGTATCATTATCCTGTGGCATGCAAATTAAGGATTAGGCTGAATTTCCTTTCTTTTCGATCTCCAACTTTTGGACCCTCCCTTACATTTTTGAAATTTTACTTATTCCTTTAGGTTTTATTATTCAAGGATGGGTGCAAGCTTCTTCACTAACAAGGTTGTGTTTGATTCACTGGCACAAATGAAAATCTTAATATTATAACAGAAATAGCAAAACTTGTTCCTGTAGTGTGTGATACAGTGTGAAGGTACTTTGCCACGTTCCTCCTTTTATGTAAGATGGATATTAGCATGAAAAGGTATGGCTGTTGACATGAGCTCTGATATTTAGAGGTAATGTCACATTGTATGATTTATTATCAGGTGATTTCATCATTTATTTTAAGTAATAGGAGAAAAATTATGCTTTACTTTCTGATTGAGTGATATAAGTTTGAGAGAGATTTTTCAAGTTCATCACAAGTGTCACTATTTTTAGCCAATGAAACTATTTTTATTGGTTCAAATATTCAAGCATGCTACGTTTACTTACAAGAAATGAAATTCCCATCGTTACTCCACAAATAGTGGAGTTAACAAGCTAATTGTTGTAGGATGCATTCTGTTTTCTTTTATAAATTATGATTCTTCTTGATAATACCATTTGTATATATCATTCTATTATTAATGGCAGAACCATTGCTATGTTTTACTAAATCTCGTAATTTGCCGGCTTTGGTTTGTTCAGGGATAAAACAGCACTTTGCGTTTGCACTACAGGCTATTTTCCTGAATGTCTCCAGTGGCTTCAAGTTGATGGAGATGGAAGGAGATCTGACCATAGGTCATAGCTGCTTCCATTTACACAAGGTAATATCTTTAATATCTTTGATGGGTGATTATGTTATGCGGGAAGGCAAAAGGAAGGACTAAACATGAACTAATCTTTGTTCTTTCTTATAATGTTTTTTGTTCTTATGGCAATGGCTGATACCTAATCATGCAACAGTTGTACACTCACCTACATTGCAGATAGTATTCTTGTGCTTACATTGAGTTTACAAGTCCAACAATCCTTGAAAATTGGGTTGCCTTATTACATGTTACCAAAAGTGAATGATCTCTTAGAAAAGTGTGACAAAACTTAGGATGATTGGAAACTAAATGTGAAAACTAAATTATAAGGTTTTGCTGTTGTATATCCCATGATGTTTAAAGTACCTCCTTTTCTTCTACAGGATAGGGCATGCTGGAAGTAATGGCCTTCATGGTTATCCCTTCAGTGGCTTCATTCGGTTATGGAATACATTGTGAGTTTCTATTTCTGCTTCATTCTCTTCCAGTTCCTGAGTCCATAATTGGTTAACATAATTATCTGCAGATTGTAAATTTGAGTGTCTTTCCTTTTTAACAGTTACTGCCTAGCTTCTAGACACAAATGTTAATAAAAGGATGAATAATTGGATGGAATTTCCTTGCAGTGGGGACTAGACAGTGGTGTTTGTTCAAATGTAACGTATTAGAATTAAAGTTGTAGCTCCATTTTTTATACACGTTAAATACATGAGCGCATATATTTTTTAATTGCAAAGCAAAACAATAATGTGTATGCTCCCCTCCCTTCCATTTGCATGGCTAGATGCAGGTTAAGTTAAAGATGCAGGCACCATTAACCATTTTGTTGTCGGCTGCATTCCCTGTCCCTCAACTGAGACATCTCCTGGGTCTCCATTCAGTGAAATTGCTTGGACAAAGGTGCATGCATACCATCAAAAGTTTAATAGGTATACTGTGCTTGTCTCTCGTTCTGATATTTTGAGATCTTCAAAAACCACAGAAGTCATTCACCAGTTTTTTTTTTTTTAAACAAAACCACAGGATTCATTCGCTGGCGTAGCTAGTGCTGTCAAGTTAGCATCTTTCCTTGAAGAAATGGATACCAAAAAAGAATTAAACTTAAACCTGATAACCAAATTTATCGTAAACTAAGGAAATTTAGCATCTAAGGAGGCCCTGGCCGCCTACTTGCTGGCCCTGAAAACCTGCGATATGAGCTAAGAGTTATCTTCGAAGAACTGGAAAGATGAGGCGGCGCGCGGTACAAGTGATCGAGTTGTATGTGCGCATGGACGATCCATTCAAGAAAGAGTACATTTCTGGCGGCACAAGCTTTGGCATATAACCAGGGAAGGTCGGCAAGCAGATCACCATGCACCTTCAAATGTACGTGTATATATGTGGCCAAGAAGCTAGCTCTCAGCTGCCTATAAATTTCCTAGGAATCTTGCATGCAACCATACCATCTCAGATCTGTGACAACAGTTCAAAATGGCGGCCATACTGGAAGCACACTGCTTCCCTTGGCCTTCGCGGCCGTCATCATCCTGCTCGCCGCCGCACCTTCCGACAGGCCACCCAAGGCCCAGGGGCCGAAAGACCCGCAGCCACCGCGGAACGACAAGCCCAAGCCAATGAAGGTCAAGTGCAACGACCGCAAGCTCTACCCTTACTGCTCCGGCAAGCGGATGGAGTGCCCCGCCGCGTGTTCCCAGTCATGCTACGCCGACTGCAACTCCTGCAAACCCGTCTGCGGTGAAAACCCGTCGCACCAAATTCCTAACCTTCGATTCTTTTGTGAAATTAACGTGATGCATGATGCATATATACTGCAGTGTGCAGCGTTCCGGGGGCGTGCGGCGACCCGCGCTTCATCGGCGGCGACGGCAACGCCTTCTACTTCCACGGCCGCAGGGACGCCGACTTCTGCGTCCTCTCCGACCGCGACCTCCACATCAACGCCCACTTCATCGGCAAGCGCGGCGCCGACGGCATGTCCCGGGACTTCACCTGGATCCAGGCCATCGCCGTCCTCTTCGACGGCGGCCACCGCCTCTACGTCGGCGCCCGGAAGACCGCCGCCTGGGACGACGACGTCGACCGCATGGAGCTCGCCCTCGACGGCGAGCCCGTGCGCATCCCTCATGAGACCGACGCCACGTGGACGTCCACCGCCGTGCCGGCACTGTCCGTCACCCGCACTAAGGCGGCCAACGGCGTGCTCGTCGCGCTCGACGGCAGGTTCAAGATCAGGGCGAACGCCGTGCCCATCACCGAGGAGGAGTCGAGGGTGCACCGGTACGGCGTGACCGCCGACGACTGCCTCGCGCACCTTGACCTGGCCTTCAAGTTCGACACGCTCACTGGCGACGTGCACGGCGTTGTCGGCCAGACCTACCGCTCCGACTACGTGAACGGGCTCGACGTCAAGGCCTCCATGCCCACCATAGGAGGGGAGAGCAACTTCACCACGTCCGCCTCTTCGCCGCCGACTGCGCCGTCGCGCGTTACGCACCTGCTTGTCACCATGACGATGATGCTGGTTTTGCAATGGTGTGAGATCGAGCTCGCTGGCCTTACCTGTGCCAGCGGCATGAGTGGCCAAGGCGCGCGTGGTGTGCCAGAAGTAATTGAAGTGTACTTGTGCTTATACTATATACTGCAAGCCCGAGAGGCCGGTGGGTATACTATGATGTTGTTGTCAGAGTTGTACCAAGCATGCATGTTTGCATGGTCATGAAATCCACAGCAATAAACTTACCATTGATTGATGTATTAATTATTAAAGAGTGAATTATAATATAATTGACATCAGTGGCATATATTTTCTTGCACCCTTTTTGAATGAGTTTTTCAAATATATTTGTAAGAAAACTATTTCATGTTTAATCCATTTGTACAATCCTTTTAACAAAATTATTTATATAAAAAGGAGCTGATGTACAAGTATTGAGGGAAGAGCAACAGTACAGAAGCTCAGCAAGAACGAGCTGATGTACAAGTATCGAGGGATGTGCAAGGAGTAACTGAAGGTGTACCTCTACTTATTATATACTGCAAGCCCAAGAGTTGGGTAAACTATGTACTATGATGTTGTCATGAAATTTGCAGCAATAAACTTACCATAGATTGATGTATTCAAGAGTGAATTCTAATAAAATCGATATGGGTGGCATATATTTTATCGCACCCTTTTAAATAAGTTTTTTCAAATATATTTCTAAGAAAAATATTTCATGTTTAATCCATTTGTACAATCCTTTCAACAAAAAAAAGTTTACATAAAAAGAAGCTTATGTACAAGTATTGAGGGAAGAGCAACAGTACAGAAGGCATCCGGTCAAATAATTTAGAAAAGACGAAGGGAGAGCTCGAGTTGATTTTTACACACTGCTTAGTATGCATAGTACAAACAAACTATCAAAAACAAGCTTCCTGCCATTTTTCTCAGCCTAGGATGTTGTAGCATTGGGTGGGTGTGACTATAGGAGGAGCGAAAAGGGAAAATAGAGGCAAGTGCCGTACGCTTCCTACTATGCAGGCTGCGGTGGACTGAATCTGTGGTGGGCCATTTCTTTATTTTTCTAGTGGCCCATTTTATCCTTATTTTTAACGGATCAAATTACTACTCTACTAGCTTTCCTAGTTCTATATCATCTTTTCTCATCTCAAAAGTGAGTGTTATATGCAATATGTTTAGTTTCACTTTGTTGTTTCTTATTTTGTATTATCTTGTTTTCTTCTCATTTATATTTTTAATATATCCTTCGTATTTTTATATTCTATTAAAGTATTTTAAAAGGGAGTTTCTTTTTAGATGTGATGCCTTTTATTAGCTTTATTATTGTTTATAATTGTTCCACAATATAATTTTATTTTTTGATAACCCGATTATATTATTATTTAACATTTAAAAAATGTTCTAATTCTTATTTATCACTTTAAATTTATGCTATATTTGTTTTGTTCCAATCGTGAAATCTCTTTTTTTTTACTTCCAAAATTTTTTGCATGGTTCATTTTATAGATTTCTTTCCTTTTTTCCATGTTTTTTTCCCAAAAACATTACCATTGATGAGATTCGGGCACTGACCATGATTTGATATGCTATAATATCTTTTGACATGCTAGACGGTACATCAGTTGCGTTTCCCAAATCCCATCAATGACTGGGACCTGTTTGTTCTAGATTCTGGACGCTTTTGGAAATTCTACACAAGTTGGCACGGCGCCGCCGACGCGCACCGGCGGAGGCTAGCTGCCGCTGCACCCGGTCGTCCGTTGCCTTGGTCCTCCCGTGGCTGGCGCCGATCGTACCGGCCGGCGAATGGACGACCACGGATCGCTCGCAGTCGCAGTCAGAACGAGCAATCCCGTACACATGACGGCCACGAATCTGAAGCAAAATCACACAGTATTGCTAAAGTGCAGGTACCTGCATTATAATTGCTAGCCCTTTCTCGCCGATCTAGATTAAAAATGAAAGAGTTTTCAGCGCCGCAAAACGAACCAAGACGTAACCACGTGCAAGATAATCTCAAGGTCACATATATAGGACACGTGTGTCATTTGGTGTCACCGTATGCGCGTGGCCAATATGACACGTGTCGCACTCGATGCTTGACTTAGCTGGCAACTTGGGCAAACAATACAAACATGAGTGTTGATGCCACAGTGATAGTGGGCTAGGTCAGCAGTGATGTTCTAGATGCTTGACTAATTACTTGCCGATCTGTAATAGAAAATAACAGCACCTATTCAGTCTGACTAAATCATTAGTGATGCTCTGTCAGTTCAGTATCCTTATCCTTTTATCTTATGGACTCGGACATAATTAAGGTTCCCGAGAACAGATCGGACATAATTGTCAGATAGTGAGAGAGAGATGAGAAGAATGAAGATCTATCCCCTTTGGCGACGAACAGGATTCAGAGATTCCTGACCTTGCCAGTTACTGTAGCTCGTCTGGCACGGGCGTACATTTTCAGTTGTCATCGGTCTGTAGCCTGCACAGACTCTGCAATCACTTGTTGCAGAGTAAACTACTTGAAAAACAATTTGTGCCCAGGAGGATGGTCAGGTTTCTGCAAATATACAATCTCACACTAGCAGGAACAAAAATACAAAATGCAAGAAAGTGGTCCTGGATGCTTTGCTGTCAGAGAACTCCGATGGCATGCATTTGTTCTTGCTCATCGAATCATATGCAGGAGAAAAGGCGGACGGCACTGAGCTGAGAATCGAGATTATTTTTCTGAGCAACTCCACAAAGCTCATTCATGTGAGGTGTAGAGAGCTAAAGAATCGAGAATTATTGGTGCCACCTTATACTTTGCAGTCAGAACACGTGCGGATAAACAAATGGCGCTACTACTTAACAAGCACGTTTTGCAGGTCACGTCTGATAACAACACCCATTCTATCCAGTAAGGATAAAAGGAGGCATGTGAGAGTGAGGCTGTAGGAATGGACAATGGATGGAAAGAGCGAAACAAATCTCACCGACCGGGAGTGCGTTTCAACTTTGTAACCATTCAAAGTTTGAAAAGCTAGCTCCATTGATCGCCTCAGATAGTTGTGAACAAGTAGCCAACATTTTTTCCTCAAATGACTGGACACAAATTGTGAGAAGATTCAGCAACTAGCCAATGCAATGCTATAGAAATTACACATGTCATGGGCGTGTGTGTCGTTTTCGTTGGGCACCTTTTGTAACAGCTGGTTGTTTTCTTGTGTACAATGTGGCCCCTAATATCTCCTCAAGTTTCAATCCATTCTGGCAAAGCAAGCTGTCGACTGGGCACCAACTAGGATACGGTATGCTAATATTTTTTTGACATGCTCAATCAGTTGCGTTTCCCAGATCCCATCTATGACTAATTGTGTCGGAAAAAAGGTAAACAATCAACAATTGAGGTATTAGGTTTGCGTAGATGATTCACTGTCAATGACGCGGGCGCACTGACATTGAACTGACCATTAAACTATGAACAAAATGATATCGGCTACTACATTTCAAGCCACCTTGTTTGAAATATGGAAGCTGGAAAAGGGTTTATAAGATTCAAAGAAAAAAAAGACACTGCCAAATGACGCTGGGGAAAAAACAGGGCAACCGAAAACAGAGACTTTCATGTTGATAGCATATTCCCTCAGCCATTTTAGGAATTTGGTGTCAATTTCTGCAGCATGTTTAAAAACTGAGTTCTTATTCTAACATATGACTACTCTTCAACTCGACAATAAGAAAAACAAGATGTAAAAGTCCACTTCACATCTACTAAAATTTCAGCAGCATCTGAAGAACGTTACATTTACTGACTACTGAGGGAGACGAGACAAATGTAGTAACCCTTCGTTTTCACAACATCATCTCTTCACCTGCCAGCACGAGCACTGCTCGTAAATACCGTCTGTATTTCCTTCTAAAGGCAATCACCTGCCATTTCTCTGAAGATAGATCTGTATCAGTATACAGAAAGAGGCAGTCAACATCAGTCACTGCAGTTTCGCAGTTGCTTCTTGTGTGCAAACTAAAACTGTCCTGTGGATCCTACATGGATCTGTCAATGAAATTAACAGATGCCGCAAATTGAATGAACATAGGGACCATTTTGCTGCTGTATATGTACAGTTTCCTTGGTTATACGACTAATCTGCTGAGGCAATTGTGGCTATGGCACTGATTTCTCGTCAGGAATTCAGGATGGTCTGAAACTCTGAATCTACTACACCTAGGATATTGAAACGTTGAAACCGAGGTCCAGAAAGAAAAGGGAACTGAATCACGGAATGGAATATGCAAGGTCCATATGCAACATCCTGAAGATGATAAGAACTGTTAGCTAACAGGCCAGTGGACTCACCAAGCAGTAGTGATAACAGTATGGATTTCACAGTTAGTTCTGTTTCAGCGTCAGAAAAGGAACAAAGCGCACATCAAATGGATCGTGGATGGAACTTCTGAATGGAACTTTCGATTCAACTTGCTATCTCATTCGGTCATTCCCTCTTCTTCTTCTTCTAATTAGTCTATGTACATTTCATCGCCTTTTTCGATCTACTATCTAATTTTTTTTAAACCAACCAAGAATCTCTACTTTCTAGCTCTCCTAATACTCACTGGGAGCCCGCCGCTGATGGACGCGGTGAGCCCAGACACGAACTTTGGCGCGCAGGCTCCGCTGCCACTCTCCCCGACCACCTCGACGTCGAACGCCCTCACCACCGCCACGGAGACCGCCTTCATCTCGGTGATGGCGAGCTTCTTGCCGAGGCATACGCGGAGGCCCGCCTGGAACACCGGGTACTTGTACAGGCTCTCCGGCACGAAGGACCCGCCGGCGCCGGTGAGCCACCGGTCCGGGCGGAACTCGCCGTGGTCGGCTCCCCAGATGCGCGGCATGCGGCCCATGGCGTAGGGGTGGTACATGACGCGCGCGCCGCTGGACACGTAGGTGCCGTCGGGGAGCACGTCGGCGGCGGCGCAGAACTTGGAGTCGAACTGCACGGGCGGGAACATGCGCATGTTCTCGTAGAGCACCGCGTGGGTGTAGTGCAGGCCCTTGAGGTGCTCGTAGGTGACCGGCGTCGAGTCGTCGCCGGCCTCCGCGCGCATGGCCGCCGCCACGTCGGGGTTCTTGGACAGGAGCATGCAGAGCGTGGTGAGCGCGGAGGACACCGTGTCGCGCCCGGCGAGGAGGAAGCTGACCACGATGTCGCGGAGGTACTTGTCGTCGACGGCGTGCGAGTCGCCGGCGGAGGCCATGAACCGGGACAGGAGGTCGTGGCTGTTGGTGAAGCCAAGCTTCCGGCGCTCCCGGATCATCGCCGCCGCCAGCTCGTCGACGAGCTTGATGGCCTTCTTGAGCTCCCTCTCGGACCCGATATTGAGCAGGCGCTTCATCCTCCACAGCAGCGGCGACGCCGCCGCGCCGCGCATGGCGCAAAGCCGCGTCGCCGTGTCGAACGCGTCAGCGAGCTTGGACATGGGCATTTCGCGCTCGAGGCATCCCGGGTCGAGGCCGAAGGAGATCTTGCAGATGGTGTCGAAGGCGAAGCGCCGGAACACGTCCTGGAGGTCGACGACGGCGCCCCTGTCGGCGGCGTCAGCGAGGACGTGCATGAGGCAGGCCTCCACCTCCTGGGCGATGATCTTGTAGGCGTAGGAGCGGACGGCGACGCTGCCGAGCTCGAGGCTGGCCATCTTGCTCTGGTGACGCCAGGCGTCGCCGTCGACGTTGAAGATGCCGCCGCCGAGGAGGTCGCCGAGGAGCGCGGCGAAGGTCTTGCCCTTGGGGAAGTTGTCGAAGTTGGTCTTGAGCATGTACTCGACGTTGGCCGGGTTGGCGGTGACAGTGCAGCCGAGGACGTGGACGTGGACGGTGCCGGTGGGCGATTCCCGGAGCAGGTGCGCGTACCAGTCGCCGAGGTTGGTGAAGTCTCTCGCCCACGACCCGGTGAGGTACGCCCGGCAGACATGGCAGCTGCACCATGGCCACCGGCGCACGAGCAGGAGCACCACGGCCAGCGCCACCAAGCAGAAGGAGAAGGCTGAGAAGGCCATGCCCGCGCACTGCGCTGCCCATGGCAAGCCCGTGGCGTCCATGGCGCTTGTTTCTAGCTAGAATTGGCTAGTGGAACAGGAGGGGAGCAGGTCGGGGAGAGCGGCAGAGAAGGAGAGGAAAATGTGAGTTTGTGCGGCACAGGCTTTGTCTATATATAACGTGGGTGGACCGGAATTCAGCACATGCAGCACGTGCGCTTTGGCTTAAACAAACGTTTGTCTAAACCTTTTCCCTTTTCCGTGTACTACACACAGCTCATGTCCCCGCCATTCCGCAGCAGTTGATGACAGTTGGGTCCACATCGCCGAGGAGGGCGGAGAGAGGAAAGAGAGGAGCTTGCCACCCAAGAGGCCAAGAGTGCAAAGTTTTTTTTAATGAACGGCCGCATGTGCTATTTATAAATTGATGTCTTTTTTGAAATTAAATAAATTGATGTCTCAGAAAAGGCATTAAGGAGTACTATTTGAAATATAGGAGATTAAAACTTTGGGAGTTGCTAAAATTCAGGTGCCTTAATTTTAGATTTTTTTCAGACAACGGTTATTACACATATTTTATGCTAAAATTGTAGTTTTAGTTTGTTGCAATTTTTGTTGGCATAATCTACAATTTTAGGATTTGAGAATAAAAAACTTGATAGACAAAATCACAAACCTGACAAATCTAATATATATTGACACAAAGACAATTCACAATTTTTTTCTATAGTTAGACGAGGACAAAAAAAAAATATGTTGTAATACAAAAACAATTAACAAATCACAAGAGGACAGATTACAAGATGATTGAAAAAATTAGAAGAGGGAGAAATCGAGGAAGCTGATAAATCCAGTGTCCTGCTACAGCTAGCGTGTTTGGATAAAGATCTGATAGGTAAAGCTGGCCAATAAAAAGAATACATCATCACCAGCACAAGCTACGGGTCTACGGCATAAGATCAGACGGACGAGCCGTCGCCTAAACAAACGAAGCATTTCGGTCGACCGATATATAGGAAACATGTAAAACTTTCAACCATATTATGGGTTTTGATGAACATATGTCTAGCCTGTTTTAATACCCATTTACAAGTATCAGTTCAGTTGGGATCCCCAGTGCAATAAAGTAAACTGTAGCACCTTCTTTCTTCATGGGTCACTCACTCCAACCCATGAAAGAAAGGTGGGGAGGCCTTGGACACCTCTCAAAAATTGCTCTATTAAGGGGGAAGATTTTGGTCTTAAATTCTTTGGTGGAGAGGTTGTAGACGGTAAGAAAATGCTATTCCACACTTTTTTTTGAAGTTTTAATGGTTGGTTAGTGAGTAATTAGAGTTTTGTTTTTCTCTCTCTTCTATGTTGCTTGAGCTACTTATGAAGTAAATTAGACCCAAGTTTTGAATGTACTAGGGTAAATTAGGGAGGGGAACAAGATTATACCCTTATTTGGTCCATATTTCTTGATTTTAGTGTACAATTAGTTAGTTTTATGGATATTTCATGTGCATGTAGATCTAGATCTTGGGTTTGGTTTTTTTTATTAATTTTGATTTTGTAAATTTGTGTTTGATGAAATTGGACTAGGGTTTGCATGAAAGATATTGGGTAAAATATAATTATTGCTAATTGTTGTCTTTGAAATTGTTTATTGTAATCAACAAATATGTATTTTAATTATTTATGGATAAATGGGCCATTAATAATTTTTCTTCTACCATGGTGTGTTTGTATGCTTCATGTAATTATATTTGATTTATATTCATATATATCTGAAGTATATACAATTATTCTCAAGTAATTATTAATTTGATTCATTTTTATAAATATCTGAATAAGTAGTCTTTTAATGTTTGTTTTGTTGTTATTTTAAAAGATGGAGTACATGAACTCTCGGATGTATGGTTCGTTAAAGTTCAAGGCAGGTTTCCGTGAAGAGATGAATAAATTTATTAAAGCCGCAAAGAAGCATGCAACGACATTGACATAGAATAATGATATAATTATTTATCCCTGTAAAGATTGCAAGAACCGTATGGCATGGACAGATGTGACTATCATCAGATCATATTTGATTATACGAGGATTTGTTGAGGACTACACAGTGTGGATTCATCATGGTGAAACGGTTATTGTTAACTATGAGGATGAGGAGGAATACGACGACGAAACCCTAGAATCCCTATCCCAATATTCAGCAAAGCTTGATGCACGAATGGATTCGGAGTTTGACAATGAATAAGGTGGTGATGCTGGTGGTTGGGATGGTAACGACAAAGGTGGTGCCAATATTGATGGTGGAGCACGTGTCGGGGATGAAGATGATTTGGAGGACATGATTCGAGCCCTTGAACCAGAGATTTTACTAAATAGCTCGAAAGATCTAGAAAATTTAGAAATGGTGGCAAAAGCATCGAAGGAGACTGTGTATGGTATTGAAAAGGGCTGTCCGACATATTAGACATTGCTACGTTTTGTGCTTGAGCTACTCATCCTAAAGGCTAAGTATGGCTAGTCAGACTGTAGTTTCAATGATCTATTGCATCTCCTGTCATGGGTGCTGCCACAACCAAACTCAGTTCCCGCCAACACATACCAAGCGAAGAAGGTCATAAGTCCATTGACAATGGGGGTTGAAAAAAATCCATGCATGCCCCAACCACTGTATACTTTTTCGTGACGACACGTTCAAGTCACTGGATAAATGTCTCTGGTGTGGGGCCAGCCGATACAAGAACAATGACCTTTACGGTAGGGACGAAGCCTCCACGGGGAAAAAGAGGATTAAGAAGGGTACAAAAAAGGTGGTACAAGAATCTCAGCCCCTAGAGGACACTCCATTAGGCAACGATGCAAAGCAGAGAAGAATTCCTGCCTTGGTAATGTGGTACATGCCAGTGACCGACCGCTTAAGATGTATCTTCCTAAACCCTAAAGAAGCCACACTCATGACATGGTGGGATGATGAGCGCAAGGTGGATGATGATAAGATTGCACACCCGACTGATTGTAGTCAGTGGCAAAGGTTCAATGAGAAGCATAAAGAATTCAGCGATGACACAAGGAATGTACGTTTTGGCTTGAGCACCGATGGAATGAATCCCTTCAATAAGAGGATGAGCGACCACAGCACTTGGCCAGTGATCTTGACCATGTACAACATCCCAACATGGTTGTGTCAGAAGAGAAAGTACCTTCTCCTCACTATTCTTATTTCTGGCCCTAAACAACCAGTCATTGATATAGACGTGTTCCTCGAGCCTTTGATGCAAGAAATGGAGAAACTATGGAGGCATGGGGAGCCGATGTACGATACGTTCCCAAAGGAGGACTTCATATGTAGAGCAATAATATTTGTTACTACCAATGATTACCCCGCGTTGTTTGCTTTGTCTGTACAGATCAAAGGGAAGATGGGATGCTTGGTTTGCTTGGATGGTACTACATGGGTGTACCTAGATGCATCCAAGAATATAGTTTACCTAAGGAACCGACGCTTCTTAAAGATAAGTCACAAGTACCGCAGTAAATTATTCTTTAGATTTCAGGACAACACCCCGGAGATTGAACCCCCTCCGAAGAGACATCATAATGGAGAACACGTGTACAAAATGGTGAAAAACATACGCGTCGTTTATGGAAAGAAGAATCCGGATGGGACGAACAGAGATAGAAGCACACCTCCTATCGAAGGCGTACCTTTCAAGAAACAATCGATCTTCTTTCAGTATCTGCCTTTTTTACCAGACTTGGAGGTCCCCCATGCCATTGATGCTATGCACGTGCAGAAAAATGTCTTTGAGAGTCTCATTGCTACCTTGATGGACACAGGCAAGTCAAAGGATGGTCTGAAAGCACGGAAAGACATGGTGCAGCTAAATATGATGCCACAGCTTCACCTGGTACCTGAGGCTAATGAAAAATACACTCTGCCCGCGACGTGCTTCAACCTAACACCAGACGAGAAGAGAGTTATATGCACTTTTCTGAGGGGGGTCAAAGTCCCCACTAGATTTTCAGCAAATGTGAAGAAGTTAGTGTCGATGAAGGACTTGTCAATAACACACTGCAAGGCTCACGATTGTCATGTGATGCTGACAGTGTTTCTACCTATTGCAATCAGGGCTATAAAGCTAGAGTTCTTGAAAATGGCCATCACCCGCATGTGCTACTTCTTTGCGAAGATCTCACAGAAGACGATTGGCAAGCAAGAGCTGAGTGACCTACATGAATTTGTGGTGGAGACACAAAACCAACTAGAGATGTGTTTACCTCTTGCTTTTTTGATATAATGCCACATCTCATGATTCACATGGTTCATCATATACAGGCACTGGACCCTTGCTACTTGCATGAAATATGGTCCTACGAGCGGTTCATGTCGGTTCTAACTTGATACGTGCATAATCGAGCATACCCAGAGGGCTCCATGATAGAGGGTTATAATACTAAAGAAGTCGTCGAGTGCTATCAAGAGTACCTAAAAGTACAGAAAGGGATTGGTAAACCCGATTCTCGTCACAAGGGTAGGCTGGCTGGGAAGGGCACCAGTGGTAGAAAAGTGTTCATCGACCATGATTACAAAGAGGTGAGTCGGGCGCATTACAGTGTCTTGCAGAGTACACAACTGATGCAACCGTACATTAATGAACACTTGGCTATCATTATGGTGGAGAGAAATGGCCGTTCGGATGATTGAGTCATGAAATAACACAAGCAACGACTAACTACATGGTTGAAGGACCAAAACATACCGCCTGGAGAAACTATAGATTCTATTACCATCAGTAGGTTGGTGGAGGGGCCATCGAGACAAGTGACATCTTGGAATGCTTATGTCATCAATGGGTATACGTACTATACCCACGCAAAGGATAGTAAATATGTGAACCAAAACAATGGCGTTCGAATAGAGGCTCTCGATGGATTAGGGTGATAGATCCAATACTTTGACATCATTGAAGAGATATGAGAACTTGACTATGGAAGAGATATAATGGTGGCCCTGTTTCGATGCCGCTGGATCAAACAACACCAACTGAATGAGATCAGATTGAGAGTCATAGACCTCGAGAATCTAGGCTACCAAGATGACCTTTGGGTGCTCGCTTTACGTGTCGCATAAGTTTTCTATATGTCTGACCCACAAAGTAACCTCCCCCCAAAGAAGAAGATAAAGCACGTGGTTGCCTTCGGGAAACAACACATTATTGGAGTTGATGGCGTGGATGATGTTGAAGCTTACAATAACTACGATGAGATGCCGCTATTCACAGACTTTCCTAAGAAGACCAGTGTTGTGGAAAAGAACCTACCCAAAGACATATTGCCATATGAACGAAAAGGTGTCAAGGGGAAAGTCGTTACAACGAGCTAGCTAGTTGTTGAACATGGAGTGTTTGTGTTAGTGTGTGTTTGTAAGACTTCATTTATGCATGCGTGTGAGACTATATATTTATGTATGTGTGTAAGACTACATATTTTTGTATGTGTGTGAGACTATATTTATGCATGTGTGTGAGACTACCCTTTGCAACATCTAGATGAATCTATTTCAACATCCACTCTATTACTACTAAAACTTTATGAAATCACTTAACACTGTTCAAATTATGTCAAATAAAAAGATGACCAAAATAAAAGTTGTATATAGTGATGTGTTCAACAACTTTTATATTCATCACCTTTACAGCTGAAATCATTTATTGGTTGAAAATCAGGTTTGAAGCTGTTATATTTTGAAATTCAAAATTTGAATTGTTCAAAATTAGTGACAAAGATAGATTACTAGACTAAAATGATAGAACATGATTTTAGAAAATTTTAAGAAAAAAAACCATCACATTTGGAGTTAGTATGAGAGAGAAAAACTGGTTACAAGTTTCAGCCACAGATTAAAAAGAGAAATCACACTTGTTCATCATTGATCATCATGAACAGTTGTGATTTTTTTTAATCTCTGGGTAAAATTTATAACTATTGTTTCTCCCTCATACTAACTCTAAATAAGATGATTTTTTTCCTAAAATTTTCTAAAATCATGCCCTATCAAGTTACTGTGTTGATTTGGTCATTCTTTTCATTTAATAAAGTTTGAGCACTTCAAATTTTCAAATTTTAAAAAATGACAAGTTCGAACGAGATTTTCAGCCATTAAATGATTTCAGCTTTTATTTTGGTGATTTCTTCATCTGACAAAGTGATAGTACACATTGTTCACAAATCAACACGTCTCTCGTATAGTTCATGAAACTATGAGTCATATGTGAATTTATGAACAATGTTTACTAATACTGTGTCACATGAATAAGTGACCAAAATAAAAGTTGTATATAGTGATGAGTTCAATAACTTTTATGTTCACGACTTTTATAGTTAAAAGCATTTAATGTTTTAAAATCTTGTTTGAAGTTGCCCTTTATTGAAATTAAAAAATTCAACTATTCAAATTTGGTCAAATGAAAAGATGACCAAAATAAAAGTTGTAGATAGTGATGTGTTCAACAACTTCTATGCTCATGACTTTCTTATTTGAAACCATTTAAGATTTCAAATGCTTATTTGAAATTGATATTTATTGAAATTCAAAATTTGAACTGTTCAAATTTGGTCAAATGAAAATATGACTAAAATATAAGTTGTACATCTTGATGAGTTCTACAACTTTGATGTTTACAAAATTTTTATTTGATGTCATTTATTATCCTAAAATTCTCTTTGTTGTTTTGAAATTCAAATTTTAAATTTTTAAAATATTAATTTTGTAAATAAGAAAATATAAAATTATATCTGTATATATATATCATGAAATTGTTTATATTTATATTTATTTATACATATATAGATTAATCAAAAAAGTATTAAATAAATTTACATTGTTTTCTTTATATATAAATTACAAAATTATTAATTAAAATGAATTAAAAAATATTTGTAGGGGCGGCTTACTCAGGAACCGCCCCTACAAATCGATTTGTAGGCGCGGCTGGCTCAGGAACCGCCCCTAGAAATGACCTGCGATATATAAGAAAGAGCTCGCGGGATGCCGAAATGACCTGGGCGCTCTCTTCCTCTCGGACGTCGGCAGGCTGCCGATTTTTTTCTCCACCGCCCCCATTGCCGCCGCCACCGTGTGGGGGTATTAACCCCTATACCCTTATGGCTAAGCTTGGGCCGGCCCGGATCGGTGGGTCTGGTCCACCAAAAGATGACGTGCGGCCTGGTTAACCTGATCGGAGTCCCACGCAAGGAGTCAAGGCGGATTTAACGATCAATCAAGATCCTGGTCGGTTAGAATAGGAACCCTTATCCGGCCACATATGGCAATTGTAACTGGCTAGGATTAATTTCCAGATCTGTAACCCTACCCCCCGAACTATATAAGGCGGGCAGGGGACCCCTCTAAAAAACATCTCTCATTGACATATAACAATACAAATCAGACGCAGGACGTAGGTATTACGCCTTCTTGGCGGCCGAACCTGGATAAAACCTTGTGTCTGTCTTGCGTCACCGTCTTGTTTGTGGCTTACGCATCTGTCTGCCGACAATCTACTACCTTGGGTATACCCCTAGGTAGACTGCCGACCATATTTTGTCGACACACCGTCTCCGTGGCCTACAACCGCCTTCTCTGACCTCCTCCATCCTCACCTAACAACTGCACCTCCATCCACCATTCCCCAACCGCCGCCTTTCCGCAGGCCACCGGGGCTAGGGTTTGAGCTCCGCCGGCTCGGCCGCATGCTCTAGCTAGTGTCCCCGCCACCGGCGCTCCCTCTCCGACCTCGACCACCGAACTCGCCGGCCCTCCCGCTCTCCCTCTCCGACCTCGACCACCGAACTCATCGATGTCGACGCGGGGGTCGCTCTCGGACGCTCCTCCACCGCCGCCACCTAGCTCATCCACTGCCGCTGCCTCACTCCTCGTCCGCCGTCGCCATCTCCACCGCCATTGCCATCCGTCTCGAAGGTTAGTGCACCTCATCTCCTTCGTTGCAGTAGTTTCTAGATCCGCTAGGGTTTGACCCACACCTCATCTCCCCTTCTACTTGGTCATAGTGATTGTGTTCTGCTTCACTGGAACATATATCAAAAGGAGTTAATGGTACTTGCGGAGACCGGAAACTACCCCATTCTACATTGACAACCTAATGAAAGACCATATAAATTAATAGTATAAGCTACAATAATATTTTCACATTGAAAATTTATCAAATCAAATTAAAGAATACAAATAAAGAAGATAATACAAAACAATATTACCGTTTGGTCGGAATCGGTAAGAAGACCCCGACATTTTGCGATACCAGCATTGCTTTCAATATAGGAAGCATTGGTACCAACTCCTACAATCACTGCAGAAACTGTATAATAGTGCCCCATGGCCAATGTACCCACAGCATTGTTCACCTATTTTGTAGTAGCAGATGAAATTAAAGAAAGATGTGATGAGTATATTATTATATAAGATTATTATAAGATTATGTCTGCAGTTCACAAAATCAGGAACTAAATGTCCATTTTTTTTTAGTATCATACAACATGCAAAGATCTAGATCCAACACTGGTATTTATTTGAGCATAGATACATATAAGAATTGGTTGTAATATATATCTTTATTATTTAAAAGTAAGCCACAATCATGTCCATGGAGACAACAATAAAAAACAATAATCTCATATCATTTTCGGCTGTTGCACACACTAGAAAACAGTAGTACATATGTGTTTAAGCAGCTGTTATCAAAATATTTACATCACAGACAATTCTTATACATGAAAGATTATCTGATAGGATTTTTAGATAGAACAGATAATATTTCAATATGTTCCAAGAGATAAGAAGGCTAACTAAGACAGCACATGCATACAACAGAGATAAACGATGGAACCAATCAAGTAGGATTTTTTTTTATAAATGGAATTAATTTTCTGAATCTAAATGCAAACTAACTCATGTAGCAGCAATGTTTTAAATATCCATATGTCATGGTCGGTTCAGTTTCGTGCTTTCTGTCCTGTCACCCTGTGCTCTCTAGATGAAGCTTGTTCGTCATTCGACTAGCTGTGCTCTGAATCAACCATCACCTTCAGCACGTGTTTAGTTTCACCTCAAAATCCTAAAAAGTGCTACAGTACTTATCACATCGAATATTTGCGGCCCATGCATGGAGTATTAAATGTAGACAAAAAAAAACTAATTGCACAATTTGGTGGGAAATTACGAGACGAACGTTTTGAGCCTAATTAGTCCATGTTTGAACACTAATTGCCAAATAAAAACGAATGTGCTACAGTAACCCCAAATTCGAACTTCCTGGAACTAAACAAGGCATCATTTGCCTTACACTTTGGCAAGGCTGCTACACTGGCTGCTTAGAACTAACGGCAGCCATAATTATTTAATTGTTATATACCCCGTATCATGTTGGGTTTAGTTCACACTGTAACTTCTCTTGTAAGCTACATCCAAAACTATGGTGAGACTGCATAAGAAATCACGTCCATTTAACTTTCAATTTTCAGTCCTGAATATTTTTTTTTGTTAATTTGTTTCAGTAACGTTACGTGTGAATTATTGTTTCAATTTTCAGAGTCTGATATTTACACCATGTTTTAGTTTTTGAATTTTTAGTTTTTAATATTTTTTATTGCTTGCTTGTATTTTTTATTGTGAGTAATATCCTGTTATTTTAGTTTTTCAGTATGCTACTCTACTCCTGTTAATTGTTTGTTGTTTTCTCTTGAATTTGGAATGTCAATTTGTGTTGTGCATGTCTGAAGAAATGCCAATGTTGACTTGCCCAGAACTCAGACATGCTACATTTCTTCACACATGAACTCCACTGTCGTTGCTGCATGTGTTGACTGCTTTCGTTTGTACAAGTGTGACCATTTCAGTTCTTTTTTGCTGAATCTCAGTTCAATTAATAACTTGTGCCATGATGTGTCCTACGGACATTGCGTCTCCATACAATAGGCTTATTGCATACTTCTAAGGCCATCACCTTTGTCTCCATTTTGATTTTGTTGAAGGGTCTGCTTGGACAGGGTCTTGATTGTTTTGTAAAAGATTGCAAAGTAAATAAGCACATTATATAGTGCCATGGATATATGGATGTTGGAAGTCTCTAGGATATCACTGGCTTGGTGAACCACAGACACACCAAGATCGAACTAGTACTTTCCATCAATAGAGTAAAGTTATTTAAAATGTCATCTACAGCCTGTCAGTTATTTATAATGTCTTTTTTAGTTTGTTCCTTATATTAGTGTATTTTAGTTTTTTTATTGTTAGTAATATCCTTCGGTGGTAGCAGTTAGGCCGCAGAGTACTTTTCTTTTGTTTGTTTCTTGGTTGTTCAGACATTAGGGAGTTTTCAGCAGCTGCTCTCCGTCTTTTCAGTTAAGCTGTGCAGCGGCAGTATTTGTTTTTTTAGTCAAATCTTTTGAGCTGATTGCAGTAGCAGGCTGCTGGTTTCTTTTTCCCTTGCTGTGACTAAGCGCAGCTCTTGGTCTGAACGTCTGCTTAGCAGTCTATTTGTGTTGTGTATTGCAGTATTAGTTAATTAATTAGTTAATCCGAGGGGGTATTTTAATTAGGTTCCTCAAGGAGCTACCTAGGCCTTGACATGTTTACTTTAATATCTTTCTTCTAGGATTAGCAGCTAGCTAGATACTCATCTTTCTTTTGCTGTGGCCACTGCCCTCACCTTCTGAAGGGTCATCAGGGAGGTGACTGATGAGGTGTTCATTTGTTTGTTTTGCTGTTGCTAACTTGCTACCCTCCTCGGCTCTTCCCCTGTGCTACCCTCCTCTCCTTTATTTTTGCCACCTTTCCTATCCTCTATGTTTGGGAAGCAGCCGCTGCTTTTTTTTACACTTTTTCCTCTCTATGTTTGTTAAGCAGCTGTTGTTTTTTTGCCAAATCTCCCCTCTCCTCTCCTCTCATTTGTTTTGCCGATGATGAAATTGTCCAAGCCCATATATTATATGGAATATAAGCTGATGATCAAGAACTTGTGAGGAACTTGGCATCATTAGCAGCCGCCCCTACATTACCTTCTCCTCTCTTCTCTGTTATGATGCCTTGATGCTCTAAGTTCAAGATCAGATGATGATTGACATGTTTCTGAGGCCTCTACTACTGCTACTACTCGTTTTTTTATATATTGTTGTTTTATAGAACTACTTTGGTTTATAGACATTTTTTATTTCTTATACCTTGTTGCGTACCTAAAACACACTTTCTTGCATCTATTAGAACAAAGCGCGAAATAATGTTGCGGACACCAGACAGTGCAGCCCGATGCCCCGAGCATGATGAGCAACCAACCTATGAGGAGCAAGCACTAGAGGACCAGCTTACTCAGGAGCAGTTCGATAATGAGATAGAAAAGGATCTAGAAGTGATGCTTAGTTAGGAGCAGTGTGATGAGGAGGAAGGGGGAGCAGAAGGAAGAGCAGGAGAGGCTGCTGAAGGCGAAGAAGTTGATGATGAGGACTCAGAAGAGGGATATGTAAGTCCCGAGGATCCTTTCCCACATGAAGCCAGAAGTAGGCCAACGGAGGAAGATTTGGACAAGGATTTTGACACGAACGAGGAGGTAGGGAAAAAGACTTAGCTTGTAAATTTTGCTAAAGCTTCACTGTGTTACCTCTGCTAACACTTTGACCTGTCGTATATACAGGTCCCTCCTAAAACTCGAAAAAATCGACGTCGACGTCTGCGACATCTCGCTGGACAAGACGGAATAGAGGAAATGAGAGCAGAGGCAACCGTCACAGAGACAGATCACGATGCCTCTGCTCCACAACCTCAAGACACAACCACGACTACCAAGCCTAAGAGGAAATGAGGGGATAGAAAAGCAAATCTATATCCAGATAAGGCATGCTATGTGATAATGGAGGTCGGGCCAGCAGGGGAGATCCTTGAGCCGAAGGAATTAAGAGGATGATTCCGTAATGCGATCGGGGCCCTACTAAGAGATAAATTGAACCCAACAATCCCTAACTGGAAAGAGGTACCAGAGAACAAAAAGAATAAACTATGGGATAAGCAGCTGAAGCTCAATTTTAGATTTCCAGAGGGTAAGCACGAACTGGTAAAAAAATGCTTTCAGGATGATGAGAGAGTCATTCCGACGTTGGAGGTCGAAGCTCAACAAGAAGTATATCCAAAAGGGGTTAACCCCTTCAACGAGTTCGGCAAAATAACTCCTAGTCAATGGGAGGAGCTCGTGGCTCAAAAGACTTCACCGGAGGCATTGAAGCTCAGTGCCCATAACACCGAGCTGGCGAAGAGGAACAAACACCACCATCATCTAGGCCCCGATGACTACTATGCCAAGGAAGAGCAGTTTAGGAAGATGGACGAAGAGGCTACACCTGTTGGGAATATCGATGTGACGAATTTGAAGGTACGCTCAAAGAATTAGATATATGCGAGGAGTACAGAATCATCCGACGGTAATCTTAAGTTTGATAAGCCGGAGACCCAAGAGGCTGTATCAAGGATACTAAAATATGCTGAAGACAAGGAGAAGGGCTCATTCAATCCTTCCAGAGAGAGAGATGAGCTTAGCCTTGGCTTGGGAAACAAGGAGCACACAGGCTGCACCAGGGGGCTAGGAAAAAGGATAACCTGGAAGCAAGGATTCGAAGAGGACAGGCACATGTACAAGAAACATGGCAGAGACCAGGAGACTAATCTTGACCTCCAAGTGAAGGCTCTAGTTGCGAAGGCATTGGAGGAGCAAGGACTGTCTACGAAGCCACGAATACTAATGACGTCGCTGGGAGAACTAGCATTAGTTGGCAGCCCTCTGAAAGTTCCTAGCAGCCAAGGTTCCACTGCAGCCACAACCCCCGTCGATCGCATATAGAAACCAACTAGTTGCACCTTGGTGTTTCTCAGCGGCCGATAGAACACTATGATGGAGGTGGCAACGGGTGTTGCACATCCTCCCGGTGGCTTACACCACAATAATAAGATACCGCCGAACTACACTAGGGTCAAGGTGCATATCGTGAAGCCCGAGTTCATACAGTGGGGGATAGACTACGCAACTCCCGAGGGGCTGGTGTTACTCGGAGACGTTATGGGGCAGTTCATCCTCTATCACAAACGGGACATTATATTGACTGCTTCTTCACCGCATCCCCCTCTCCCAAATTTGGAGCGAGTTGTTGAGGTCAGGGAGATATTTTCAACGTCTTGTGACCACCACATTCCTGAGATGCCATATTCTTCCCCGCCTCCGAGCGAGCATGTGCCTAATGAGATGCCACAACCTTCTCTAGCTCGTACCGAGCAAGTGCATGATGAGATGCCACAGTCTTCTCAACAAGCACAACTGATACATGAACAACGAGTACCT